TGGAACGTAGAATGAAAGCTGTGAGTCCAAAATTAATGTTATAATTACGAAAGTTTGCAAATTATTCCTTTTAATTAGTTTTGTTTTCATGATTGGTGCAGTTTCGGGTTTTGACATAGTGGCGCCATCTGTTGGTAAACCACAGGTATTAATTAATTTTAAAAACACTTATTCCTGCATTTCAAGATTTAAATGAGGTATGAAAAGAAAGCTGAAGATCTAGTTAGGGTAGTGCAATCGCAAACGTTCACAATTTAGTTCACTAAATTAGTTTTTTTTTTGCAAATGAAGATTCGGTTGCTTCATGGGGTAAGAAATACTAGCGCCGCATTGTGACAGAACGGTGGAACTAAATATGGATATATAGATTTTAGTTCCACCGTTCTGCCATAACGTGGCGCTAGTATTTCTTATCCCGCAAAATGAATAAATTTTCATTTGCGGAAAAATTAATTTAGAGAGTTAAATTATGAATTTTTGTAATTGGAATTTCTTAATCAGATCATAAATTTTCATTTTATGCCACTTTTGAATCGTAAAATGTACGAATAATTATTTTTAAAATTAATTAGTACCCCTAACTCATCGACAGATGGCGCCACAGTGTCAAAATTGTGTCTGCTCTAATTACAAAAAAAATACTAATCAAGAAGAATAAGTTATGTACTTTTTATTTGTATGTACATTATGTGGCAATAATTTTGGACTTGCAACTTTCGTTTCATGTTCCACAAAATGTATGAACAAAAATTTACAAATTCTATTAAAATAGATCGAAACATCTTTTCAAATAATATTTAATTTTCCACAAATTATATTCAAGTTTTGTATTAAAATTCGTACGTGAATATAATTGAATGCATCAGTTTTGAAATTTGAAATTGTACATACAGATTGCAAATTGCCTTATAATTAATTATGTTTTTTAATTTTAATGTTATAAAACGTTTACTTTTGCCATTTCATTCCTAGCGTCAGTGGCCATGAATTGTTCTCAAATTTTTATTTCCAACAGAGAATAATTTGAAGGATTTATTCATGAACTTTTATAATTGAATTAGCTCTTCTTCTTTCAGGCTCTTAATTTTTTTTCCCAAGTCCAGTTTAACCGAGGTTACGCATTGATCTAATGAAGTAGTGATAGTATTGAAGAAAGTAGTAGTAGTACTAGTATCATACACATGTATGTGGAATTAATGATTGTGAGTATAAAGGAAATATGGAAATGTTTATAAAATTGATATAACGTATGCGTTTTATTAATTTTTTATTAATAAATTTAATTACAGTTTACGTTAGAAAAAGCATAATTTTTTATCTATGTTTAATATTAATTCCGTTTGACCAAATTAAATTAAATAAAACGAAATCTGATTTGCTGATTTTTAAAAATAAGTGCTCTGATAGGGTCTTTGTTTTTCCAGAAAATTAGCCGAATCCTATTCGTCTATGCCCCACCCCTTCAAATTCGCGACGCGAACTATTGCGCGGGAGTTAGTCTATTGTCGAAGATCGTGGTATTAAGATGTGACGCAGTTCGTTTAATTAATTACGTGATATTTTCATCGCTGTGCTTAATGTGTTTACATCCACACTATCAATAGTGTAATTAAGGTACGTTTTTACAATTTATCAAATATTATAGTAACTTGTAATTAAATTACGTTATTTTCTTCAATTGTCTTTCTTTGGTTGCCAGATTTCCTAATATATAGTTCGTACTGTGCACTTTTGAAGTGGCACTTGACGTTAATTATTACTTAATTTTTACGTATGTGATTTGTTCATTCTAAACATGTTTCAAAGTTTCGATTGTTTTTTTTTTACAGATTACCAGTTAATTGTGAAAGATTCGAGAATATCGGTTGTGAAATTCGGAAGGACGTCACGATGAAATTTGATATTTTTTTACGGAGGTACGGTAACATTGGCTTTATTTTGATCAATTTTCTCTTTTGAGTCGAAGAATTAGTAACATTTATTTGATATTTAATTCGTACATGTTCGTGATGAATAATTTTCGAAGAGAAACGTTAACGGCAGGTTTGAACCTGTTCTGCGCATCGCGTCTTTTATGTACTGCGCAGCTTCGTTTAGTTGACAATAAAAGCTCGCCATATTTGATTAGTATGAAGTTTGAAATTCCAACGAATACAGTTATAATTTTTCGCAAATGCAAATTTTCGATTGCATTGTGTGATTGTGTTTATAACTATTTTAATAATGTTAAAAAATATTTTACAACGCAAGATAATATTCTATCGTATTTATTATTCATAATAATAAATTTTATTATTTTTAATATTATTCATAATAATAAATTCATAATTATTCATAATAATTATTGGTCATAAAATAGAATTTCATTGAATATTTGACAAGTTTTTATTTTTCAATCGAATATTATCATTAAAATTTTAATAAAGATCAATCTTTTATTATTTCATTTAATTAATACTCTTTAAGTACAAATTATAATGTTTTGTGCATTTTTTTACAGATTTCTTTTCGCCTTTATTTCTTCTACAATATGGCTATTCCTAGTTAGTGGATCTTAGGATAATTTGCTGTCAAGTCAGAACAGTATCGATGACAACGTTCTTCGCATCTAATCGTGAGTCGCATGCCTTATTTTTCCTCTGGTTACTCAATCATGTCATAGGATGAAAGGTCCGAATTGACACGGGTGACTGGTTGTATTACATAGAGTTTTTACTAAGCATAGTGACCACGGTTATTTATTATACCTGTGAGTAGTAATGTCTTGTTTGTGTCTTATTTGTATTAGTTCAGGATAGATTTTCTTGCACTTCGCGTTCTTGAATGTTAATATTTGAATATGAGTATAATAATTATACTATAAATATTGTAATTTATATAGTTCATAATTTACAATGTTATCTTATATATGATATGTTATCTTATGTATGATATAATGCAAACACTTCTAACTATCAATATTATCTTATATATGATATAATGCAAACACCATTGTTTGATTTCCATGTTCAGTATAATAGAATTTGAAATTCCAATAGAATTTGAAATATGAAATATAAAGATATTCAATTTTGTTCGTCCAAGAATGTATTAAATTTTATGTGCAAGAAGATACTTCGCGACAGGCAAATTTCAGAATCAGAGCAATTGGTTTCTTTTGTATGTTTAGATATATGCTCTGATGAAGAGATATTGGCTGAGGATATTTTTATTATTATTTAGAATTCGTTATACTTTTATATACTTAGAATCTTCTTTTATTCAAGTAAAAACACTTCTGTGTATTTATTGAATCATTAAAGAAAATCATAAAGTAAAATGAAA